TCAGCCCTGTGCCTGGCACAAAGGGATGTCAGCACTGGCTCTGTGGTTAAGCTGCTCCCAGCTCTGCCAGTTTAGAAAACAGAATGCAACATTTGCTCTTCTCAAGTAGAGTGGTACCAGTACAGCCTTGCAAGCATCTTCTTCATCTCCTCTCTTGTATTAAGTGTGATATCCACTGTGTCTTTTGTCTTAAATTTCAGTACTAGTTTCCTTCATTTGCACTTGGATCACAAGACATTTCAGTTGTGTTTAGTTATATGTACAGTATTGCAATATTTGCCTTTTGGAAGTAGGATGGTAGCAGTGTAGCCTTGCAATCATCCTTTTCATCTCTGTTACATGAGGAGGGTGTAGTGTCCACCATGTCTTTGTCTTAAATTTTGGGACTAGTTTCCTTCATTTGATGGTGGATAACAAAAAAATTTACTTGTTTGTGGTTTTAGTATTGCTTGTGAAGGAGAAAGAGTAGAGTTACTCTAAAAAGTGAAGTAGTTCAAAGCCAGTTGAAGAATAAAATTGCTCTAAAAACTGAAATAATTCAAAACCAATTAACCAAGGAGTGACTCTTAACTCTTGCTTTCCCTTGCTGCAGTTGCTCATTGTGCATCTTCGAGACAAATCATCTCCCACTGGAAGAATTGTACTCGGCACGACTGTCCCGTGTGCCTTCCTCTGAAAAATGCCAGTGACAAAAGAAACCAACAACGTGAGTGTTTCTCTTACTGCTGTCACCATTGGAACTCTTAAACCAAAGTTGATCATGTGTGCAATGAAGGAATAAACTCTTAGCAGTGTCCCAACAAACTTACTAGCTGTTAACAATTTGTACAAGGATAAATATACCAGTGAATTTCCATTGCTGACCATTAAAGGCAATTTATTACTTAAATACAGTAATACTTAAACACTTAAATATATAAATGTACTTAAATACACAATAATTGGGGAAGTCTGAGCTCAAGCACACATCTTTTCTAAAGGCTGGGGCAACTTCTAACTGGTGTTCCATTGTGGGGCAGGTCAATAGATTCCAGTTATGAAGCAGTTTTGGATGTAGGTGGGGGCTTGGGGAAGAGATAAGCTACTTGATTGTGTTTGTGGCTGCTAGAAACAAATCAAAATGCTAATGATTTAAAATAATCAAAAGTATTTGAAAAAATCATTCTCTCATGTAAAAAGGCCTGGGTGTCTTAATCATTGTATTTGACAGTGGTGTAGATTAGCTGTAGTTCTGCAAATCATGCCTGGTTTTTATAATAGCTGAGCTGCTACTGATCCTTGGGGCCAGTCCATTTGTAGTTTATTTCTTCTTCCCTTTTGCTCTGAAAAAGAAAATTCTCAACTTATATTGGTAGGTTTGCTTCTCATCAAGTCCTTTGAAAAGATGCCAGGGTGGAACATTTTACAGCATCGATGTAAAGTTCTAGAAGTCTTAAGTAATGTTATGCCTAAGTATATTTAAATAAGGGCTAAGAAGTGGAAAATAGCTGCAGGACTTGCAAAGCTTGTACATTGGAATTGGATTGGAAGCATTCTGCTAATTTCCAGCTAAGCTGAGACTGCAGTGGGGAACTCCAGCAAACCTTGGAGGATGGGGAATTGCTCCTAGGTTAGGGGAGAAAGTAGCTACTAAAACTACCAAAATTATCCTTTGAGAATGTTCTCTCTGTGGTGTAAGTAGGGGTTTTCTTCCTCCAAACTGAAAAAAATTACAACTGTAGAGCTACTTGGAGGGCAGGATTTTGTTTTCATTTTACCAAACTTCTCTATGGTAAACAAGATAAATCTTGTGCTTTGAAGGTAGTAATTTGTTGCAAGTGATTACTTGTTTGACCCTTGAAAAATGTGCTGAAAGCTTTGCTTTTTAATATGACATGGTCCATTTGTGCTTAACATCCTTATTGCACAGTTGTTATCAAAGTGCTAACAGCATCTACCAGAACAGAATTGTATTTTTCAATACAAGCTGCTGGTGAAAAGTAGTTTGTGCACCATTTGTTTGGTTGCTCATACAGCTGATCACAAGAGAACAAAAACTGGAACATAAACAAGCCTTAAAAATAATTTTGCTATGGAATCAAATATGATATTGTCTGAGTGCAACAGAATTGTAGTGGATAAGTGTAGAATTTGTCTCTCTTGTTGCATATGGAGGGAGATAAATATGAAATCTCCTTCTATTCAGTTAATCAATAAACCAGTGGTGCAGGGTTCTTTGTCCTGGATTGTGTCTGAGTCATACACATAACACCTGATGGTTTATTGGAAGTGAAAGAGGAGCACTTAAAGTACTTTTTTAGCTGTATTATAAAAGGTACCCCTTTTTGTGCATTCAGGAGGGTTTGTGAAATGATTTACATTGGTGTGTGCCTTTTTAAATGTTGTGCCTGATCAGGTGGGTACTAACCAGAGTTAGGTTAGTTTTAGACTGGAAGAAAATGTTGTCTTTCTTAAGAATAATTCATAGTAGCTTGTACTGAACTGGGAGGAGGAGGGAGTCTGCGTCTGGCAGAATACAGAGAACATTCAGAAAGAGAAAAAGGAATGTGAGTGTAGTGATCCTCCTCCTGTTGCAGGGCTGCCTTCCTTGCAGAGAGTCCAGAGCCTCCTTCCTGGGCCCACCCCTGTTTTCCTGTTGTTATTTCAGCCCTGGGGTGGCCATGCTGGGCTTTCAGAAGCTGCTTCAAAGGGTGCCCACCTTTAGCACATTCTGCAGTGGAGCATGCTGAGCCATTGCAAGGTGGTGCCTCCCTTCCATGCACAGCCACTCCTGTGCTTTTGTAGCTTTCTGTTCCTACTCCTTGGGGATCTGCAAGTCCTGGAAAGTCCTGGGGTTTAGGTTATTGCCTTGGAGCTGTTTCTGTGCAGGTCTTTTAGTGTTGGGATTTTCTTGCAAAGAACATTGTGCTAGGTTTCTTTTGTATTGCCTTTTTTATTTATTTTTAAACACTCTTGAACTATATTTTACTATAATGGCTGATATTGACCTGACTTGTTAACAGGACATATTGGGACAAATTTAAAATTCTTTTTGTTCCTCATGGTTTTTATTGTGGGTCCCATGTACCTCTGAGGGGTCAGGGGAAACTGGAAAACAAATACTATTTTGCACATGATAAAACATTAAACTTTTCTTTTGAATAAGCAAGTGAATCCTGTATTTTGAAGTAATGGCTTGAAATTTGGTTGAAATATTTTGGGGTTGAAGGCTTGTTTTTTTTTAGGAAGTTCCTCTTGCTCCCTGCTAGGCCCAATACCATATGAGCCACAAACTTTAGCAAACAGTTGTTGATATATTTCCTAGTTTTGTGGCTGTGTCAGTTATTTTATTGAGGATTCATCTTGTCATCCATTTGCTTGATATATAATATATATATTATATATATATATATTATATATATATAATTAATTCTTCCATTCCTGGCCTGGGCAGGTGTGTTGTGCCACAGCTCCTGGATCTGCTCCCATTTGTGATGTCCTGGTCCATCCCCATGTGCAGCACTTGGTGTGCATCATTCCAGAATCAGGGGACCCTGCAAAACCCCTGGGATCCACACTCAGATGAGTGAGACTGGAAAGAGGAGTTGTGAACTTGGAGCTGGTCTCCTTGTAGGAAAATTTTAAATAAAATGCAGCAAGGAGAGAGCTGGATTAAGAAAGATGAAACTTGAGATAACTAATCTTCCTAAAAGTGTGATTTTAGAGGAAACACCAGAAATTGTGGTGTGTGCAAAGTCAGGGATGAAGGAGCAGAATCTGTTGAGGGAAATGCAAGCAGGGACCATGATGTAGCTGGGTGATGCAGCAGGTTATTGAGTCCAGGCAGGACATGGAGCAAAACCTGGATGTGGAGCTTTTGGGAGCCAGTCCTTTGCAGAGGAGGAAGGAGTGAGTGCATCCATGCACAGGGAAATGTGTCCAGGAGGAGGAGGCAGCAACTTCTTCAGTGGAGTCTTTTTTTCCTGTGAAAACAAAATGAAATTCATCTTGTTCATGTTTTACTGTCAGTGACTGTAAAATCTACAAACAAAACATGTCTCTTGTTTTTTTTAATTGCTAGAAATCATATAATGGTGACACATCAGTTATTCCATGGAGCCACATGGTGGATAATAGTCCTTGGATTAAGGAGTTCCACTGCTTGAGTAATGCAATGCTGTACTGAAGGCTTATAATTGAATGCTTAACTTAAATAAAAATTAAAATGGCATTGGTGGTGAAGTTTTAAACTGACACTTCCTGCTTCAAGCTCCTCATAAAATCTTTACCCCATGATTTGACTCAAGATACAGCCTTTAATTAAATGATTGTGTGCATTTATCTTCATGTACCTGCCTAATTCTGAGGGCAGGACTTGTGCTGAGGTGAGTCAAGAGCCCCAGCACAGATTTTGCTCCACTGCAAGATGAGCAGAGTGAGGAACAGGACAAAACAAGACTCAGTTAAAGAATTCAGAAGTAAAATCAAACATTTTAACCAGCATGGCTAAATTTAAATCAGCTCATAGCTTGTTGTCTGAGGTGTTGAGACAGAGTTGCTGAAGGATTTTGGTTTAAAAATTGCCAGCTGATCTAACAGACAATTCTGTTTCAAATGCTGCTTTCTTTTTGCATCTTAATTGTTAGTATTGCCTTCTTTCTAGTTTGTTGATCTAATCTTAAGAGTTTAGGAATTTACAATTCTCCAAAATGGTTTAACATGTTCACTGGAGTGGTCAGTGTTAGAGGAGTGCTGGGCACTCATACTTAAAATAGCATTAGGAATCTGTGCTTAAAATAAATGTAATTAGCTGGAGGGGTTCCCCTACAGAAGACCTGAGTGCAGTGTCATTGGACAGCACCTGAGACAGACATTAAACAGCACCTGAGACAGGAATCCTGCAGGGCAGCTGCTCTTTGATGGTTTTGGTGCCTTCTGGGGCTTTGGGATGTCACTGGGGCTGCTCAGGAAGTTCTGGAGCTGCTGAACTTGTGCTTGTTTGAACCTTCCCTCCTCAGGTACATAAACACAAGTGACACTGGGGCACACAGAGCCAGCTGTCTTTACAGCATTTAGAATGTGAATTACAGAGCTCATTTCACACTTGCAGCTTCTGTCATGGGCTCCTCAACGTCTGAAGCACCAGTTAAGAAAAATAAATTGCAGTAGACATTGCTTCACATAGCAGTGGCCTAATGTGTTTGTTCCAGGGCTGTGTTTATTTTAGTTGACTTTATTTCCTGCACTATCTGCCACAGAAGGGACAGCATTTGCACTTGGGTCTCTCCAGAGTAGAAATTTAATACTCTTTGCCTCCATCTTCTTGTTTGACAGATAATGTCATGCCTTCACATAAAACCAGTGAACAAACAGACAAGAAAAACTCCTTCAAAACCAGGTTCCTGATATTGGGAAATACTCAGAACAGGATCCTGTTGAGTTGTGAAGTGGTAGAAGAGCTGAGGCCAAATAGTTTAACCCTGTTCTAACCCAAAGGCTGAACTTGTGCTTTGCAGTGACTGAAGCTGCTGCCAAAGCCCAGCCCAGAGCCGTGGGCTGGAGGGGCTGGACCTGTCCAAGTGAGCTCCAAGCCAAGCCTGCAGTCTCAGACAGTCCCTGGTTTTTCCCCAGAACGTGAGGGGTGGTGGAAGGCTGGGCTCTCCTCAATGGGGTGGCCTGAGCCTTTCTCAGCTTCCCAAACATTAGCATCACCTGTGGGTGTTCTGCCATCTCTGCCATCTCCACACTTCCAGCACTGAAAGCAGACTGGGGGGGTTTGTCCAAGTTTTCTGGTGGAATATCATCCTCCAACAAGCTGGAATTCTTATTGGCTCCTGAATCAGTCTGTGCTGTCAGATTGATTGTCAGCCTTTTAAATCCCAGGGTGCCACAACTTTTGTGCTATTTCACCTTCCTGTCCCTTGGCTTGCAGTAGTGTAAAGGCATCTTTCTCCTAGGCTGTGTGATTCCAGAGTACTACATGCAAGTCCAATGAGGAATTCATAGAGATGCTCTTGAATATGTCTTTTTTTGTAATTAAGCTGATAGGATCTTAATCAGCTTCTGCCTTTGTTTTTAAATTCTCTTGAAAGTGATCACTGAGTTCAAAAGTTTTTGTGAGTGTGTCCACAGAGTGTAAATATACATAAGCCTTAATTTCCATGGTAATCCCAGCATTTAAAATACTGTGGATTGTCCTTTGGGGGAAAAAAGGATGTTTTTTGTAGGGCTGCTTATTCAGGAGAGGGAGATATCTGAGTTTATTTATTTGTAGTTCTTTGGCAAATGAGATCAAATTGATTTCTCATCTGGAGAGGGAAAAGTCTGGACTCTGCAGTGTGAGTGTTTTCTCTTGGGTGGAAGCTGGAAGCTTGTGTATCTCTTTCAGTGATTCAGTTTCCATGGTGGGTAAGGATTTAAGAAATCCTGGATAATGCTGTTAATGTCTCAGAAGGCTTGTTTTCATGACTTTTTTATCTAACCACGTGCCCCTACTAATATTTCAATAAAACAGTTATTGTTGCCTATATTAAGAGCCATTACTATTGCTAAGTTTAGTTCACACATTTGTAATGCACATTACATATTTAATTACTTAAGGGGGAAAATGTGAAAGAAGTGTTAGTTCTACCAGAGTCCTGATTATCAAAATGCAGTGTCCCTGTGCTGAGGGTTGTACTCCATGGGTCATTCACCAGGGAACATGGCATTACTTAGAATGGCAACTAAAATGAGAACCAGAATGCAAAATTTTGTTCTCTTCTGGATCAAGTAAATAGTACTTTTCCCTGTTGTTTCCATTTCCTGTCTAAGGGAAATGACTCTTCCATACACCTGTGTGGTGGCAGAGGTTGGTTGGTTGTGGTAGCCATATAGGTTAATGAATACCTAAACATCATCTAAATTATTTACCAGGGTTCAACCCCTTACTGACTCTACAACTTATTTTAGATGTAGCCAGTACAATCTAAGACTCCTCAGGGTTTTTCATATCTCTGAGTAATTTGGGGTTTAAGGTAATTTGGCCTTCAGAGGATTCATCTGGTGACTGCTCGCAATGAAAATTTCTACCAACAGATCTTCAGTATTACCTTTGTGTCCAAGGACACAGTGTTTCTGCTGAACTCAGGATCTCTGTTCTGGAGCCAAATATTTTGACCTAAAATGGGATTGATGGGAAAGAGGGAAGTAGAGGAATTAAATTTTTCCCCCCCTTAGTTTGCTGTCCCCAAGCATGAAAATCCTATTTAGCCTTATATAGGAGCCTGTGCTATAGATCTATTACAAGTAATTATGGGCTTATCTGCCTGAAATTTGCAGCACTTCTCTTTAGACTGCATGGATTAATAGCCAGGGTGGGTTCTGTCCTGTAGAATCAAAGGCTGAGTTTTCCCACAGTTCTGTCCTCTGGCAGAAAAATATCTGTATCATAGAATATGTGCATGCTCTGGTGACTCTTGACATGACTGATTTTACTCCTTATCCTCACTGAGTTTGAATTTTTTCTTATCCTTTCTCTTCTCTGTAGCCCTTTTAGGGTCTCCAGCAGGTGGGATCCAGAATTCCATCGGTTCTGTTGGCACGGGCCAGCAGAGCACTCCAGCCCTGAGCAATCCCAACCCGATTGACCCCAGCTCCATGCAACGAGCCTATGCTGCCCTGGGGCTGCCATATGGCAACCAGCCCCAAACACAGCTGCAGCCCCAGGTCCAAGGCCAGCAGCCAGCACAGCCTCAGGCTCACCAGCAAATGAGGACCATTAATGCACTGGGTAGGTGGAAAAAAGACCAAGAAAAAAAAAAAAAAAAAAGAGTTAAAATAACTGATGTTGAATTTTTAGCATAGTCTGGTGTTTTGTTTGGTCAGAGTAGTGACTGTCTGTTCATGTTGTTTAGGAAGTTAAAAATACACTATTTATGTACACTACCATTCATTTCCATTTGAATATTGAAAGTTTTGAATGTAGTGCTTTTGACAAATAGCAGGAGTTGAAGTTTCTGTTAAAATATAGCTCATTCTGTTAAAATATAGCCCATAGCTCGTTCTCTGACGTGATGAGACAGAATTTCTGAAGGATTTTTGTTTAACAATTGTTCCCTGTTCCAACAGATAATTGTGTCTCAAATACTTTATTTTTTGCATCTTAATTGCTAGTATTACCTTCTTTATAGCTTGTTGATCTAATCTTAAGAGTTTATGAATTTAAAATTTTAATGGACTCATTTTTGTAGTTCATACTGAAAGTAACTTGGTTCCATAAATAGCCATGTATGTGCAGCACAGCAGGTATTGTTATAAAAATACTTAACCTGATAAATTGCTTCTTTAGTTAGCCAGCTGGGTCAGTAAAGTGCAGTTTTGTCATATTATTGTCAAAATTGTGAACTGTGTACCAATGATGTTTAATTTTGTCCCAAAGGAGCCAACCAGATGAACCTTCCTGCAGGAGGAATAACAACAGACCAGCAACCGGGTCTAATTTCTGAAACTGCTCTTCCAACATCCCTTGGGACAAATAAGTAATGCACACATTTTCATTCTTGCTCAATTAAACATTTATTTCCATGTTTATGAGAGTAAATAAGAGCATGCTTTAAGAAGTGATTGTCTTGGCGTGGAGATGGACGTGTACAGCTCTGCTCTCTCTCCTGTTTCCGTTCCAGAGCTGCCACTTTGTGCCTCCTGAGAGCCCCACAATATTTACTGCTTTTAAATGAAGTCCCAAAGGAAGAATATTTTTATTTTTAAGTTCATAGTTGTGATTCTTTACCATTCACACTGTGAATGTGCCTTGTAAACTCCTGAGCTTTGCTGCTTCAGGGGTTGCAGTTTGTTGATGCCAAAATTTCATTTAAGAGAATGTTTGATGCAATAGCTAAAACTGATGAAAGCAACAACTCAAAAATTACTTCAGGCAATAAACCTATAACAAAACTCTGCATTCTGGTACTCTAACAGTCCCTTTTCTTTTTATTTCAGCCCACTAATGAATGATGGCACAAACTCTGGCAATGTTGGAAACCTCAGCTCAATGCCAACGGCTGCGCCTCCTTCGAGTACCGGGGTAAGGAAAGCATGGCATGAACATGTCACTCAGGACCTGCGCAATCATTTAGTGCATAAACTGTAAGTATTCACCAAGGCTGCCTTTTTCTCAATGTTTTTAAAGAATTTCAATACACTAGTTGTGCTATTAAGCTGAAAAGAAAGTTATCAGTAGTGGTTCTCAGGTGCTGGGCATTCAGGATGAGTTGTTAGCTTTAATCCTCCTCTTCAGTTTGTTCTTTGTGCTCATTAAGGAGTGGGTATGAAATAAGTTTCTGTTGCTGGTAAATTTGCTCTGCTGTGCTGAACAGTTATTGAGACTCCAGACTGTTAAGCCTCACTTTATTTTCATCATTTGATTTGTTTTAATCTTGTGAGAAATAGTAAAATACTAATTTTTTAAACCATTTTGATATGCTTTTATATATGTGGTCTGTAAGAAAACATCCAGGGTGATTATCATAAAACTGTATACTGATTTTGGGGTTTTTTTCTGAAGATCTTTTTCTGTTATTTCTGCTCTGTCTTTGCAGTGTCCAAGCCATCTTCCCCACTCCTGATCCAGCAGCACTGAAGGATCGCCGCATGGAGAACCTGGTGGCTTATGCCAGGAAAGTGGAAGGAGATATGTATGAATCTGCTAATAGTAGGGTATGTGGCTTCAGTCCAACATGGCAAAGAGCAGTAGTATCACAAATCTTAGAAGTGTAAAGAAAACCCCACTGCTCCCTTCATGAGGAAAGTCGTGTTTTCTGTCTGTGACAGTGTTTGTATAGTCCCAAGCCATGTGATTTATGTCACTTCAAGCTAATTCAGCTCTAGACACCATCTCCATCCCTACTTGCATCCTTCTGAAATGCAAGAAGCTTGGAGCACAGCTTGCAGTTCTTGATGTTTCCCTTACTGACTTCCTCCCTTTTTGGTAGTCCTAAATTTTTCTTAATGCCTCTTTACCACTGGAGGTTTTCTCTAGGACCCAGTGCTGTTCCACTGCTTACCTTCCACCTGTACTGATGGAATTAATTCTTCTCTACTCTGCAGCACCAGGAGTGCTTGGGCTAAGACATAAGAAGTCAGTTTGGCTTCTTTGTGGATAGGAAAAAAACCAGAATTCCTGTTGTAGTTCACAATTTTTGCTCTGTCTGCCCAGAGATGTCAGCTCAAATCTCTCTTACTTGAAGGGAGCAAAGCCCTGCTGATTGACAGGCTGAGAATATGAGATGGTGGTAATTCTACCCTAAAGGAGCCACTCCCTGGGAGTTTTCATTGGGAAAAGACAACAATATTAGTGCCAGTAGTAACAGCCAGCAAGATCCTACCTGATCAGAAACTTGAGATCCTTTCTTAAACAAGGGAGGAGCATCTAAAGCGAGCAGTTAGTGGCATTTCAGGTGATAATCAGATGATCCAGTCAGACATTTCTGCCTCTCTCAGCCCACCTGCCAGAAGAGCTGGAGATGGAAATGCAGGTTTTATTTCCTAGAGGCAGAGGGGCAGTGACCATTCTTGCAGTGCTGCTCAGTTGTATCCTCCTTGTAGCTACCACGAGGTTGTTTACAAGGAAGGCTTGGGTGTGCTCAGCCTTGGTTACCCTGGCAGCTTTAGAGACCAATTTTAGATAAAAGGAGGATTTCATGGTCACACCTGGCTGTCTAAATGCCTTCTCAGTAAGGATGAGCATAGCAAACTCCTGATTGTAAAATGAAATGCTTTCTGACAGACAAACACCCAGAAGTGTCTTCTCCTCACCCCTCAAAACAGCTGTCAGAGCCTCCTGGCCAGAAGTTTCTGTTATTGGAATTTATCTAATGTATTTGGCTCCAAGCAGCACACTTGGAAGAAGGCAGCAATTCAGAATGTGTTAACGATGCCGTGAGGAATTACATCCTTCCTTTTGAGGAGCTCCTGTTCTACTTTGACACTGAAAAACATATTAGTGAGAGGCATTATTGTAAGGAGTTTAATGCTGTTCTAGCAGTGTGTGCTCCTTGTGAACACAGGCTTTGCAGTGGGAAAGCAGCACAATATTAAATTTACAAATAGGAGCTTACAACTGAAGTGATTTGAGCAGGGGAGGGGCTGTAAGGCTTTTAAACTGGACAGCAGAAAGTGTCTGTGCTGATTTTTGAGAAACTCTGAGGAGAGAAGTGACCTGAAAAACAAAGCTTTATATTGCATGACTGGACTTCCTTACCAAGGCTACTGAGGAATACATATCTCATATTAAATTTTCAGAAATTAATTAAATCCCGCTGGAATAACAAATTCTGTGCTCTGTGTGACTCTGGGTTCTAAGAGCATGGTGGCCCCACAGATAAAATGTAGCCTTGAGGGTTTGTGGGGATTTTTGCCTTTAACAGGTGCATAATCACTTGGCAGATGTGTGTCCAGCAATTCTTGACAAGCAAAATTGTCAATGTGGTGTGCACTGTGGCTGTCTTATTGGATCTGTTGTCAGTGTGGGTTGAGTAAAATGGATTTTTCATCTTGTACAGATACAGTGTTTACTGTCTCTGCATGTGAACTATTTTTCACTGAATTTTCTCCATTCCTTTGAGGTTTTGTCTGGTTTTGTTTATCCCTTGCCATGATTGTTGATAGACTCTTTAGGAAAAGAGCAGCTCTTTTCTTTATGTAAAAATTGATCTGTGCTTAACATCTGTCTCCTGAAAGTTTATTCAGTGTAACACTGTGTTGGGAATATCTTTTTCTTTTGTCTGTGAATTAGTGGAAATGTTCATTATGAAATTAACATTTAAAAATCATTAACACCTAGAAAATAATCACAGCTTCCTGGGTTTTGCTGAAGCAACAGAGAACCTCCAGCCTTCTCCTTTGCCTGCTAATTTACTCAGAGTAGGCATGCAGGGTAGCCATAAACAAGTGTAATTTCTGGAAGTTTCTTTTTTTCCCTGTTCTGCATTAAAGCAGAAAAGGCTGTCTTAATTTACAGCATTCTGAAAATAAATATTTCTTTTTCAATTAGGCAGGTGTATACATTAAAAAACAAAAAACAAAAACCCAACCCCAAACCAGATGATAGTATTTAAGTAGACTGAATGAGTTTTGCTGCTGCTGATTCCTCTCTGTTTTCCCCTTTTAGGATGAATACTATCATTTATTAGCAGAGAAGATCTATAAGATACAAAAGGAGCTAGAGGAGAAGAGGAGATCTCGTCTCCATAAACAAGGGATGCTGGGGAACCAAGCAGCCTTACAGACCCCCGGGCCCCAGCCCCCAGGGATCCCCCAGGTGGCTGCTGCCATGGGCCAGGCACAGCCCGTCAGGCCACCCAGTAAGTGCTGCTGGAGCTGCTTCTCAGGAGTCCTTGGACTCCAGCAAATCCTCAGGTTGTGTTTAGAACTGGTTTTGCTGACCTTTGTTGTGCTGTGTTGCAGATGGGCCTATGTCCATGCCAACCGTGCCTATCAGTCGTATGCAGGTTTCTCAAGGTATCTGTTTTCCTCTCTAATTGCAATTTGTGGGTTTCAAAATAATTGTTGGGGGTGGAAAGGTGATCTTATGGTGGGGTTTTTTGGTGTTGGGAGGGAGGAACTACAGGAGCTGCCTTTTTTCCCAGCATTGCTCTGTGTCAGTGCAGTGCTAACAATATGGATCCAGCACTTTGCTGGGGATTGGGAATTAATTCAGTGCTTCCAAAGAGAGGACAGCTCAAGCAAGAATACTGTGGATAATCTCATTTAAAACACTGTAAAGGGAGAAGGATGTTGGCATGTTTTCATCAGTTAATTAGCCAAAAATACACCTGTAGCTGGAAACACAGCACATTAGTCCTAACATCTGTGTAACTAATGATAGCCTTTCTTGGTTTCTGCTGGAAAGTGCATCTAAAAAAGCCTTGGAGCTTGTTCACAACACTTGTTATTACTCACTGAGGCTGCTGTGAGCTCATGGGTGGTTTTTTCCCAAAAAACACACCCATTTCTTTTAGGTGCTTCAACTTCCTTCAAAAAAGTGTCCTCAGCTATTTTATTTCTTGGTTCAGAGTTAGTACTGAGTCAAAATTTCTGTTGAAATGTCCTTGGGAAATAATTTTAAAATTCATTTGAATAGGAGAACAAGTTGATAACAAGTATAGCTCCATAATTACAGCTTTAGACAATTTTTTTGGAGGGATTCGATGTTTTGTAGGAAAAGCACAACCCCTGTTAAAGCATTTTGCCAACTTTTGTCCTGATTTGAGGCTTGGAGTTGCCTTCATACATCCCATATGTAATTTTATCATATTTACTTCAACCATTTCAGGTTGAATAAGACAACCTTATTTCATGTCTGAATAAGACATTGCTGTTTCAAAGCAAATGCCTGATTTTAAGAAACCATCCTAAGGTATTATTTAGAAATAGCATCCTGTCTCTGCAGATCATGCAGCATCTACTCTTCATATTTTGCATTTAATTTTTTTTTTTAAGGCACCAAAAATTGTATTTCATTAATTGTTCTAAGCATGTCTTGCATCCTGATTTGTCTGTTAAGTCAAAGTAACCAAAAGACAAAACGCAGGGCGGTCGAATTGCAATCACAACAACTGTTAATTTTCTAGTAGAATATAGATCCATCAATTGTGCTGACTTGTTCCTAATGAGTTGTTTTGGGGGTGCATTTGCAGGAATGAATCAGTTTAACCCCATGTCCATAGGGAATGTACAGATGCCCCAAGCGCCGCTGGGACCGCGGGCGGCGTCTCCGATGAACCACCCGGTGCAGATGAACAACATGGGCGCCGTGCCCGCGGTTCGTACCCACCCTGCCCACCCCAGCCACCCCTCAGCCCCTGGCACTGCTGCAAACTGTGCCATCCTTTCATGGGAATGCAGCAAGTGGGACAGGCCTTTATCGAGGTGTTTGTTTGCAATATTTACTTGTTCCAAAAACACCGCCCGTGCCACAGGTGCAGTAATCCCCAGCAATCTGGGGAAGAGCATCTAGTGTCTTTGCAGTATACAAACCTTCTTTGTTCCCACATGAAAACATGTTTTTATCCTTTAGAAAAACAAAAATATTTTTAGTTTGCCTGGATTCTCTCTGTCAACCCAGGGAACAAAACAGAGTTAGCACTCTGAATGTTACCTGTTAAAAATAGTGAATGCTGTGGAGCAAATGCTGAAGTTATGGGCATATGCCCACTTCCAGTTAGTGTAATTAAGCCAATTTTCCTTTTTATTTTTTTCTTATCTTTTGATTGTTTTCAGTGTATTTTTCCTTCAGTGTATTTTTCCTTTGTCCTGCTCCATAGTACTAAATGGTAATTAGTTCATCTGGGTGTTAATTTTCAGATGGCAATGTCTCCTTCCCGAATGCCTCAGCCACAGAACATGATGGGAGCTCATTCCAACAACATGATGGGTCAGGCTCCTACCCAGAACCAATTCCTGCCCCAAAATCAGTTCCCAGCATCCACTGGAGCTATGAATGTGAACAATGTGGGCATGGGTCAGTCAACAGCCCAGGCCGGGGTGGCACAGGTGAGATGGATTCTCTAAGATTTATTTGCTCTTTATTATTTTGCTGTGATTTATTTGCTTATTTGTTTATTTGTATTTCTATATCCATTTTTTGATGTAGTCATCCCAATTTTGGGGGACTCTGGGTTACATCTGCTTTCTTCAGAAGCTCTTACATAACTTATCGACATCTGTTAATGGGGGCGCAACGCCCTGCAAGTCCTGATTTAAATCCCTTAAAAATGCATGCTGAGGAGATTTTTAGGGGAAATATCAGAAATCAGTTTATGGGATGCCTATGAACATATGTTTGGTCTCTGTGTGGACCGGAGTAGCTAACTTTAAATGTAAAATTATAATGAAGTGATTGGGCAAGATCTTCTAAAATTTGGTTTAACTTCTTTGCTTCTGGAGAAAAAATAGTTGGATTTTTTCTGTAACATTTTTCTGTTGCAGTAGTGGTCAGTGAAGTAGCAGCTGTGCTTATGATGCCAAAGTATCTGCTTTTCCAGAGGGAAAGGCTTGTTGTTTAAGTCAGAGCCCAAGTAATTTAGGCTAGTTAAAACCTCCAGAGTTCTGAGAGATGACTTAGATCAGGTTATGAAGGGCTCTGTCAAGCCAGGTTTGGAATATGCTCAGGATTGGAATATCTACAGTTTCATGGGCCTCTGGCTCAGTTGTTTGACTGCCTTTGTGGTGAATGGTTTTTTCCCAATGCATTTACTTCTGTAAAACTGCCTCTGTAAAGACAATATAGAAGTGTGTTTTAAATTTGAAGCCTCATCTGCAGGAAATTAACTGATTTGTATTTCTAAGAGTAACAGTTACATTTGTGGATGGAGTATTCTTTTTTATCACCAGTCATCTGTTGCAGTCTTCAGTAAAATGTATCACTTAAAGGTTTAAGTACATCCAGAGTACTTTATTGTTGCTGCTCCGAAAAACAAATCCCAGGTTTTCTGAAGCATCTTGAGCAGTTTGATTAGAATTAAAGAGAAAACAAAAAGATTCTTCTTAAGTCTTGCTCTGTGCAACTCCAGCATTAAGTGTGTTGACCTGCCCTCTAAAGAAGAGCTGCATCAGAGTCCTGGCCTAAAAATGGGTATTTGCTCCAAACCATTTGTGTCAAAGGCTGACCTTTGCCCAGCTAATGGCACGATTTAGAGGCTGCCTGTGGGTTTCTGTGTTACTGGCATTGGGAGGATTCCCTCTCTGTGGCAGTGGAATTAATGCAGGACATGCATGGCACAACTGGGTCTGGGAGAAAGGTCCTTGAGCGCTGATGGCAGCGATGACAGAAATCAGAGCAGTCACTTGCAGCAGCAGCCTTGGTGGCTGATCTGCTTGCACTGACAGCATCCTGTCAGAGAGGGCTTCAGGGCTGTGATTGAAGGGATAAATGTGATTGCAGGCTCTGTAAGACTCTGTCTCTCGCCAGCAGGGGCAGGTTCCCAGTGCTGCTCTTCCCAACTCCATGAACATGCTGGGGCCGCAGGGCGGGCAGCTGCCGTGTCCCGCGGTGAGCCAGCCCCCCCTGCACCAGGGCACGCCCCCGGTGTCCTCTGCGGCCGGGATGGCCCCGATGCAGCACCCCACGCCCCCGGGAATGACTCCTCCCCAGCCAGCAGCGCCCACCCAGCCATCCACGCCGGTCTCGTCCTCGGGACAAACTCCGACCCCGACGCCGGGCTCTGTGCCCACGGCCACGCAGAGCCAGAGCACCCCCACGGGGCAGACTGCGGCCCAGGCGCAGGTGACACCGCAGCCACAGACCCCTGCCCAGCCCCAGTCTGTGCCAACCCCACAGCCAGCCCAGCAGCAGCCAACATCTGTGCAGGCACAGCCACCCGGCACTCCAGTAAGTACCAGCCAGCCCCTGGGCCTTGTGTCGTGACGTGCCACGAGTGTCCCTGTCTGTAGCACCATGTCCTCAATGTGTAGAGCCCATAGCTGTGCATAGCAGCTTCTGCCTTAGACCAGGGGGTTGCTTAGAGGTGTGTTAAATGTGTGTGTTCAGATGTTCTCAGCATTGTGTGAAGGAGGGGGGGTTGAATGGCTGGACTGCTCAAAGTAAAATTGGCAGCAGTGTGCAGAAAGATGAGGTGTAACAAGGCCTAATGCTCTGTTTGGCCATAATCAGAATATTTTCTGATCCTGAGATTTGCATAGATTTTTTCCTTTTAAGATACAGCCAGGGCAAATGCACGTTTCAAGGAATGTACAGTGTTTTACTGGGCAGGTGTTTTCTCTGTAAAAGAAGCCTTTTTGGGGCAGAATTTTTCCTTGGCTTCTCCTCTGTAAAGCAGAGTTATTAAATGTGTAATATCAAAACTTGGCTACAGTGACCTGTATCCATGTTCTGCACTGTTGTAGAATATCATCTCATGTCTCTTTTGTGCTGTTCATTTTTAGTAAAGGAAAATATTTCTATATATGCAGTGTCTTTCTTTTGTACTGTTTTTACAACAGCTATCCCAGGCAGCAGCTAGTATTGATAACAGGGTCCCCACCCCTGCCTCAGTTGCTAGTGCTGATACGAATTCCCAGCAACTAGGACCAGATGCACCAATGCTAGAAAGCAAATCAGAAGTTAAAACTGAAGAAACTGAGCCAGAGACTAGTGAGACACAAGTGGAAGCTAAGACTGAGGTAAATGAGATTCTCTACAGCTTAACTGCAAGCAGTGATAGATATAAAAGCACTTAATGATGTGTCTGACTCGGTGAGCTAAGGGGCGAGAGGAGGGTCGTTACTGCAAAGTAACTCCTGAGGAAAGCCATGGATGGAAAGTGCTTCAACAGTCTCAAACTAATATTTTGATGGCTGAAGTTTGGGTTGTAGATGTAACAGTACCTCTTGTTGCATCCTTTCTTAAGGTGGAGGAGGATTTACAAGGAACTTCACAAATAAAAGAGGAAACAGATGGAACGGAACTGAAGCAGGAGCCAATGGAGATTGAAGAAAAGAAGCCTGAAATTAAAACTGAGGCTAAGGAGGAAGAGGAGAGTGGCACTAATGGAACCACTTCACAATCCACATCACCATCTCAGCCCCGCAAGAAAAGTACGTGTTGAGCACTGGGTTCCCCTGTGTGCTTTGCTTTCACTAACATTTGTTTTCCACAGTCTCAGCTCCTGCTGGGAGGTTTGTTTTACACTTACGTTTCCAGCACGTGGAGCTCTGGGAGATCAATACTCTGTAACTTAATTTTGAAAGTAGCATTCCTTTAATGTTCCATGAATCAGGTGAGAAAAGCAAGTCACTGTGCCCTTGATCTCAGCACTGCCTGCCCAAAAGGGCCAGGGCAGTAAGGCAGTGATTGCTGGAGGAATTAAATACATAAATCCCTCCTGGTATATCTTGGTGCTCTTTGAGAAGAGCTCAGTGCAGATAAGAGTGCTTTCAGTAACCAAGGATATCCATTGCTTTTCTTCTCCTGTGAAGAGGCTGCACACACCACCTTTATCCTGAGTTTTGTCATCACTTTTCTGAGAATCGGGCACTTGACCTCTCCTGAGCCTGTGTTTCTCCTAGGCTGGACCGCTGCAAGAGGCTTAACATTTATTTTAGAGTCCTGTGTTTTCAGGACTTGAAAGTTTTCAGTGTAGTGTTCATTTGCTCAGCAGTCTCTTAAGTTAAGCTGCAGTGTCAGCACAGATTGAGGTGTGACTGCATCTGTACTCAAGGGAACTTCATGGTGCTGCAGGTTACATAAATGTTTGGGTGCCTTGTGTTAGTAAGAAATAAATAAGATTATTAAAGCAGAAATATATTTCCCTGCTTGCAGTGCAGGCTTTGTGGCAGGCTGCAAGATAAGTTTTCAGGCTCAAAAACCTTTGCAGTTTTGAAACCTCTGGTTTTTTGCATCTACTTTATTGAGGTGGTGTTTTCTGTGGTTAAGTTTTAGTTTTCAACCAAAGGGAAGCTTTCAACGTGCTGCAAATGTCTAAAAAATCTGCATCTCCTTGATGTGCTTTGGGTTGCATTTTGTTACTAAGCATAACCTTTCTGTAATAAATCACTAGAAAACACATTTCCCTGCAGATTGGTGTTTTCAGCTGGCAGCAGAATGGGGCACCCAAACGAGAGCCCACTGCAGAACCAACTGGCAGAGCCTTTTCCAACCCAAATGTAACACAGGGAGTGGAAAAAAAAGTTTATTAGCATTTCTGAGCCAGTGATACTCCCAGTGGAAGGAGTCACTGCTGCCTGGTAGGAATGTGCTTGCACAGGGAAGGTTCCTGCAGAGGCAGTTCAGGCTGGGTCACCACATATTCCAATTCCTCCTTTGGTGACACAATTTTATCCTGGAAGCTTTGTCACCCAGTAACTGTGTAGTGCCAAGCACGTGCTGTGTGGGCAGGTACAACCACAGACACGAGTTTAAAGGGTGGCATTTTCTCACCAAGGAGTTTGTTCAATGTTAATGGAGCTTTGGTATTAAAATGCTGAATAAACCAAGAGGTATTGGAGAGTAATTACTGCCAAGTGTGCTGAAGGGATAGGTGATGTTTTAAAACTACTGAAGAGACTGATCAGGAGTTTTGCATGGGTTGCAGAAGTATTGGGAATTCTTCCTCCTTCCCATGCAGGCACATTCCTGAGGGCAATCCCACAGTAAGCTGGGACAGAGCAGGCACTGAGGGCACTGTGTGCTGCAATTTAGCAAGCAGAGCCTTTTTTTGCCTTTTTTTGCAAATCTAATGTGAGCAAGAAAGGAAGGTCGTGGTTCCTTGCCTTGCAGTCTCAAAAACCCACTGTAATACTCATTTGGGCAGCTCCTGTCTCCTTGTAGGTGGCACCTTTAGTTTGACCTTGAGGATGAGTTTTACTGATTTCTTCATTTCTTTGTAAAGCATAATGGAGAACTTGCAGGAGCTTGGGTCTGAGGTGTATTTGTGTGTGCTGTCCTTGTAATTTTGAAAATGTCTTATCTTCCTTTATGAATTTTCTCCTTAGTAATCATAAGCAGACTTGCCTTTGTTTGAAAAAGGCAAAAAACTTAAAAAGGTAGCATTGTACTGTTCTTTGGTGGGTTATACGTCATCGTGAGTCAGGCAAAGATCCCATTTTCTTTTTACCACCCACACATCCAAGACAAAATGGGATAACTGGATGCCAGCTCCTTGCAAAGGTCTTCAAGCTACTGGAGGAGAACTGAGAGCATTTAATTTTGGGAAAAGGAGAGTGGGAAAAACAAAACTTCCTTGTAAAATCCATGTACAGGGAGATGCTATGATCAAATGTGCTGGTATTAGTCATAGTCCTTAGAGGCAGAGCAGCTGAAGATGAAGGCAATGTTTCTGTATGGTTTTAGGTAAAGTAATAAATTGAAAAAACAACTGGATTTTTATTTTGATTTTTTTTCAAACTTCAAAATGAAAGTGGGTTATAAACTTGATCAGCAAAGATAATTAGGCTTTAAGGAACTTGGCAAAAGTCAAGCTGGGTCTCTGTAGTTTGAGTTTAAAATAAGGTTGGATTTACTGTGAAGGATTCTGTAGCTTAGTGCTGTGTTATTATAGGAGAAAATTCTAAAAGCAGTGTCGAGCAGGTAGTCACAATAGATTATTAAAAGGTACTTTTTGACCTTTACATTTCATTAAATGAAATAATTCACATTATCACATTATGAACTATCTGAATCAGAGCAGTAGGGAATGCTGTTCCTCATTAATGGAATTTATTATTTATTTCTGTTCTTGAGGATCCCATAATATAATGTGCAAGACTTGTTTATAAAACTTTGGAAGTCTTTAGTAGGGAAAAGTGCCTGCATGTATGGGATTGATAAATATGGAAGAGAATTGCCATTTTGTTGGGAGTGAGATTGTGGCAACAGCTGAAGTGATCATACAACCAGTGGAGTAGTGTCAGCTTAATTTGTCCTCCCTTTTTTTGTGTGTACTCTTTAAAATCATGGATTTTGATCTAGATGTCCCAAAAAGCAATTTGTATCATACCAAAATACCATTTGAGTGAGAAAAGCAATGATCAGCCTCAAAGGGGTCACTGAGCCCTGTTGATTCAAGTGCTTTTAGCAGAATTAATTGCTCCATTGTATTGGTATTGTTCTCATTTCATCCAGGTAGATAAATATTAGATGCCATCCTGCTTTCCTTAGTTGTCTTTTTTCCTCAATGATAGGCATTCTTCCCTATTTAAAGACACTGTTCCTAAGGAAATAAATGTAATTACACTGCAGAGATGTTCAAAGAGCTCTCCAAGTTATCATTATTTTTCAGAAAATGTATTGCCTTTTTTTGTCCTTGTCAGCCACTCCTGAAAGAATCATGGCTGTTGCCATGCCACTGTTGCCAAGTGGTGGCATAGAAATCTGAAATTATTAACACTTTCCAAATCAATTAAGGATCCATCAGAGCAGGACTGTTTGCACACCGTGGCCAGGAGAATTCCTGTGCCAGCTCTCAGGACATCTGGTCACCCCTGCCCTCTGCAGTGGGTTTTGCTGGAGGAATCTTGGCTTGGAAATAGCAAGCAAGGTTAGAAGGGAGGGAGGCAAAATTATGCTCAGTCTCTCCTTTGAGGAGAAAAGATTCATTCATGTTGAAACAATTGATTTAATTTGATTCTTTGTAAGTTTTGAGGGTTTTTTTAATGCTACAGAATATGTATGATCATGGGCTAGAGTTGTTCCCATATCCCTATTTTGGGAATATCTCTGCTGTGATCTGAGTGAATCCAAGGCTGTGTTTGCCTCTTGGAAGTGAGGTTTTACCTCTGATCAGGAAAACCCTTTGCAGAGTTTTACTTAATGTATTTCTTTGGGGGTTTTTTAGGGGAGTCAAGAGATTAGGAATCAAGGAGGGCAGTTTTCTAACCTTTCTGACTTCCATTTCCAGTTTTCAAGCCCGAGGAGCTGCGCCAGGCTCTCATGCCCACCCTGGAGGCTTTGTACAGGCAGGACCCAGAGTCCCTTCCCTTCAGACAGCCTGTGGATCCCCAGCTCCTAGGGATTCCGGTGAGTTGGCATTAAAAAACCCTATAAAAATATTCTCCTAATTTTATTTATTTATTTATTTATTTATTTTTAAATATTCTCCTATTTTATCTTTGCTCAGGTAAACATTTTCCCTTTTATCAACATCTTGAAAAACCTAAAAAAATTGAAAAAATTCATGTTTTTCACCTTTAAAAAATCGGGTTTTTTGGTGTTTTTCCAGGATTATTTTGACATTGTGAAGAATCCCATGGATCTGTCGACCATCAAGCGCAAGCTGGACACGGGGCAGTACCAGGAGCCCTGGCAGTACGTGGATGATGTGTGGCTGATGTTCAACAATGCCTGGCTCTACAACCGCAAGACTTCCAGGGTCTACAAGTTTTGCACTAAGCTGGCAGAGGTGTTTGAGCAGGAGATTGACCCAGTCATGCAGTCCCTGGGCTACTGCTGTGGACGCAAGGTGGGTGTCCCAGTGTCCCAGGGAGTTCTTCCCAACAGCCCAGCTGCAGTCAGCACACAAAGCTTCAGCTTGGGGACTTTGTTTTTGAAGTAGAAATGCTGAATGGAAGGGTTGTAGGAAGTTTGGTTTTGTTATAAATATGTTCAGAGCTAAAAAGGTAAAATTTAAAATACTTTTCATGTTGTGCATTCTGTATTGGGAAAGAATAGTAACTTGAGATTGAATAGAAGAAGGGCTCGTTCTTCTTTCAAAATGCCTTCCCAGTTTAAGTTTGTGTTAAATCATTTGGATTATTCCAAGAAGGCAAGGTTGGTCCAGGGTGAGTGGAGCAGAGGGTTCCTCTGCACTGGGGGCTGTAAAATTCCCCTTTTCTGCCCATTATAAACAGGAGAGTCCATTTAAGTCATATTTTTCTGCTCATCCAGTTGCCTTGAGAAAGGGGTAAGAGTTTGTGATTTGGGGTAGGGTTGAGTTCAGGAGTGTGAGGTTTTCTGTTTCAGGCCCACTAAATGCAGTGATGAATGATTAAGGCTTTCAAAAATAGCAGCTCTGCCCTTCTGTTATTATTGTTGTGGTTTTTCTCCCTCAGAGGACACCTTCTTTAGTTATAAGTGATATTAAAATAATTCCCTGGTTTCCCATGTCCATAAAGCAGAGGTGAAAGGGGCCAGCTGCTTTTAGAGTTGATGATTGTCACCAGATTGAGAGGGCAATGCTGGTAAATTCACAATGGCTGGATGGCTGTGGCAGTGTCCTCTGATACCCACAAGCCTCAGGTTTGTTTTATAGACCCCTGCTGAACAAAAACCCCCATGGTGAAGCTGCTTTTCTCCCTTGTTTTGCAGTATGAGTTCTCTCCCCAGACCTTGTGCTGCTATGGCAAGCAGCTGTGCACCATTCCCCGGGACGCTGCCTACTACAGCTACCAGAACAGGTAAGGCCCTGAACCCAGGATTGCCCTTTTTCAGGAAATCAAATCTCTTTAGAGCTCTCTGCACATGCAGAGGATGAGGAGGATCTTTAACTCTTCCTTCCCTTTGTCAGCCAAGTCAGGCAGAAGTTGTTTTGTTGTCTTTCCCCGCTGTCCTTTTGCAGGTGACTCTTTGTTTCTCTGTGCTGCAGTGTGAGGCACTCTGTTCCTCAGGGCTTGCCCCATGAAATGCTTCTGTGCAGGTCAGCTTGTCCATGTTTGCCATCAAATTAGGAGCAGGACTGCAGAAAGGCACTGGGAAATCCTGTTACCTTGTTCTAGGAGAATTGTGAAAATATACAGGTTTCTTTACAAGTTAGTGCCAGAATTTGCCAAGTAAAGGGTGCAGTGATTGATTGCAAGATTTATGTTTCCCCTTCCTAGTCTGTGCTTCATTATATTTAAATTAGCTTGGAAATAGCATTAAAAACTACCCAGAGACTCCATGAAAAGCTGTGAAAATTCAAATTTCTCTCATTTTTAAATTAATATTAGGATGTGGTATTTCTATTATTATTAATAAACAATTGTTAGATTAATTTTCCATTTAATGCTTAAATCGCCAGTGTTAAAATCGCAAAGCAAACTCAAAACTTGGCTTTAATTTTGATTTCTTAGATGATGTGTGTCTTCCTCCTCAAATAAAATACACAATACAAATGGGCTGAGACAAAAGCTTTGTTTTAAATAGGGAAAGGGAAGTTATGAATTGCTTGGCAGCCTCTAAACCTTGCCAGCTGAGAAGTCACAGAACCAATTCAGACTTGCAGCACTTGTATTTCATTTTTGGGCCATCCCTTCTCTCCAAACATGCTCTTGGGAAGCTCTCAGCCTGTTGGGCCCCACTCTGGAGCAGCACAATATGGGAGAGGAAAATGTGTCATCCCCCTCGTGTGGGGGGCCTTGGGTGGCCTTTGAGAGGCAGAAAGTATTGACAGGCAGGAATAAATTCATGAGCTCTCATAAAAGATTTTATACAGCCACTCTGGACTCTGAAAAGTCAGGCTAAAGAGAAATAAAACAATTAAAATGTATTTAAAGAGACACTTCAGTACTGGCACTGGGGAAAAATAACCCATACCCTTAAATGCTGGTATAATTTAAAATACTTTTCATGTTGTGCATTCTGTATTTGGAAAGAATAGTAACTTGAGATTGAATAGAAGAAGGGCTCGTTCTTCTTTCAAAAGTGCCTTCCCAGTTTAAGTTTGTGTTAAATCATTTGGATTATTCCATGGAAGGCAAGGTTGGTCCAGGGTGAGTGGAGCAGAGGGTTCCTCTGCACTGGGGGCTGTAAAATTCCCCTTTTCTGCCCATTATAAACAGGAGAGTCCATTTAAGTCATATTTTTCTGCTCATCCAGTTGCCTTGAGAAAGGGGTAAGAGTTTGTGGTTTGGGGTAGGGTTGAGTTCAGGAGGAGTGTGAGGTTTTCTGTTTCAGGCCCACTAAATGCAGTGATGAATGATTAAGGCTTTCAAAAAGATATTTCTAAAGATAATCACCATATTGTTAAATAATAGTCCATTTTGCATAGAAAGCCCCTTTTCATCAGCTCTAAACCCCTGAAATTTCCTGGGACAGTGATCTTCAATGTTCTTAAACAAGTAATCAAGTGAAAAACAAATTCCATGCTTCCAGCAGACCTTTAGTTGGTCAAATGTTCTTGAATTTTCCATGTACAGAGCAGGCAAAATTGACAAAACTATAAAATATGCACTTAAAGTCCAGAGTATCACATGACTAAATTACAACTGAGAATATTTAGACACCATTGAATAAATGAGCTCAGGCACTACAGTTCAATCATTAAGGTAATTATTTGGTATAGAACCATTCAGACTCCATAATAAGGCAGAAATTCAGGTTGAAGTGTTGAGAAAATGTGCTGCATGTGTGAATATCCAGTTGAGAAAACCAAGTGGTGTTTCAGGTCAATGCTGCCATCCAGTTATGAATTTAGAATTGCCTTTGCACTGAATTACAGTGGGGAATTCACCTGTTCCTGTGAGATTGAGCATTTTCTGGACTTTGCTGTTGAACCATAATGTTGCTCTTTAATAAACAGGAGTCCCCTGAACAGTCTGCATTTGAAAAGCTTTTCATGTTTGATGTGTTGCAATAAGTGCATTCTTTGGGGTTTCTCTGGCTGCTGTAACTACAATATTGTGTGTTTTTTATGGGTTTTGCTGAATATTTGTGGTGACATGCAAAAGGCAGGTCTCTGTTTCTGAGGGTCCACATCCATAATAAGTTACAGCTATTGCTTCACCTTGGTTATTTTATGGACAAATGTTCATGATCTTTAGGTGATTCATTTTCACTGTACTTCAGTTTTTATTTCCTCATTTTAATATCATGGATTAAAGCTTAGAGTGCTTTGAAAGCCCATAAGTTATTCTGAAAATGGATCAGAATTAACATTTTCTGGGACTGTTTAAATGTAGCAAATTATTAATAGGAGCCTTGGCCATGGATTTTTCTGCCTTCATTCTCCTGTATTTGGGTCCTCCTGATGTTCAATCCTTCCCAATCTGACTCTTAAAATGACAAGCAACTGTGTTAGTAAGGAAAATAGTGGTGGGAGTTTTTAATTTAAGAAAAATTGAAAGAAGCACATTATAGGAAAAAAAGAAATGGACGATGTGTGAAAGGATATAAACCTCTGAACCTCTTATGTTTGGATTTTTAAAAAATTCTTAGCTAGTATGTTATCAGTTTAGGGATGGGGTGTGAGGGGCAAGGGAAGTCAGTGGAAATGAGATGTGCTGTGTCCGTGCACTCCTGAAAACTGAAACCCTGCCACCCTCCTCTCCAATAACCACAGTGTATTTATCATGCCCAGTGATAAATCAGTGGAATACATTTGTTTTTCCCCTGGCCTTGCTGTGTTGCATTCTCAGCTCCCCAAGCCTGTTTTCCCTGGGAGGATGCTGTGTTTGGTGCCAGGGGGTGCCCTAGGAGGAGCTGGGTTTCAGGGGGGTCAGGCTGGCAGGGCTTCCCTGGCAGTGTCCCTGGGCTTGGGTGAGCTGGAACTAGCCCTTCCCAGGGCTCCTGGGCCCTCCTGCCCCTGCAGCTCCTGCAGCAGCTTCCAGGCTTCAGGCAGGGCTGGTGGAGCATCCCCCTGGCCAGCATGGCCCCAGTGTGTCCCAGCAGCAATTCTGATCCATGCCATGCCGTCAGGGCTGTCTCCAGGCCAGGAGCTCTCTGGGACTGCATTGAGGTGTCCGGGGTGGGCTGAGGGGGCAGAGCTGTCCCCTTGCTCAGGCTCCACCCTGGGGTTGTTGGTTCATTGTGACCCTGAGTCCCCTTGGTGCCTGTGACATCCATCCCCACGGCTCTGGTGTCTGAGTACTAAACCTGCTCCTCCTGTGCTGCCATCGCTGCTTCCACTCTCTCACTCTCCATAAAGCTCCTTTATTTTGATGATCCTTTGTGGCCTTCCTGCATTTTACAGCTGTGGCCTCTCTGTTACCTTTGTTCATGTGTGAATTCATATCCTTTCCAAACATTTAGCCTCCTTTTTTATTTTTTTTTTTTTTATTTTAGTGACCCTGACAACTTTGGTTCCAGTTCATCTGAAACAACCAAAACAAAACCCAAAACAAAACAAAAACCCCACCAAACCCCCCCCCCCCCCCCCAAATCCATATAACATTGATGTTATTTTGTTTTTTCAAATGCAGATTGTATTTTCATAGAGTTGTATTCCAATTTACTCAGCTTGGTTTGGTAAACTGCAGAATTGTTTTTGCTGAGTATGACTTGGATTGGCTCTTGGTCTGGTGACCAAAAATTGTACCTATCCTTATGTTCAATTTGTAAAGCTGAATTAATTCCACATCCTGAAAGTACCTGATAAATATATTGTATGTATGTACAATATTTCATGTTGTTCACATATATACATATATTGTATTTATTTATATAAATGGCTGGAAACTCTGACCCATAATTGCATTTCTGTTAAATGTTTGTCTAGAGTATGGATTTGGTTTCATTTATATGAAAGAATGTTAGCTGAGCAATTGGTCACATTTAATCTTACAATCAAATTTTGAATTTATTATTTTTATGGATTTTTTTCAATATCAAGTGTTTCTGCTTTTGCAGTTTTGACTCACAATCAGTAAATGCTTTCAGCATATTTCCTAATTACTTAAATCTGTAATAAATGTATCCTTAAAGCTTGTTGACAGGCTCCTTTTTACTCAAAGAAAACTCGATCAGTCGCAAGCTTGGAATCAAAGAGAAATTTTTTTTTCCCTGAGCGATGCAAATCAAATCCAAATTCTTCAATTTGAAGCCTGTACAAAGGTAGCTCTTGGTGGCTCCTGCCCAAACCCTGCCCAGCTTTGGGCAGTGAGGCCCAGCACTTGTTACAATGTGTGAAATGAGACCGAATGCTAATCTGTGCTTTGCCTTGGCTTTCTGCTCTGTGTTGTCTTGGTGTTTGCGTCTTACCTCTTACGTCTGTGCTGTTTGTTCCCTCCCCTGTTCTCTAATCCTGCCCTCCCCTCCCTCTGTGCTCCTCATTGTCCACACTGACCCATCAATCAACCAACAACGTCCCCCCTTCCGTCGTGCTCCTGGTGATCTGCCCTGCCCTGGTTGGTGGCTCCGTGCTTGGGTGGCTGTGTTTGTGCTGGACCAGCTCACCCAAATATGGCCTTCTTGCTGACAGGTATCACTTCTGTGAGAAGTGTTTCACTGAAATCCAGGGGGAGAATGTCACCCTGGGTGATGACCCTTCCCAGCCTCAAACGTAAGTCTCCTCCTTTCCTCTGCAGCCTGAATTTGGGAGTGGGGCAGGGGGAGGGTGTGCTGGTTTGGGGGTAAAAGCCAAACCTGTGGGTGGGGAAATGCTTTATTCCTTCTTAGCAGAGGATTTAGAGGGATGGGATTAAGAGCTGCTGGGTCTGTTACTGTGCCCAGCACTGCTGCCCGTTCCCGGGGTGCAGAGCCTGGGTACTGTGTTTAGAGGGGAGCAGTGGAAGCTGTGTCAATAAATGGCACTAATCCATCACCTTTTCTAATGCAAAACCTCAATCTAATTCTGATAACTCACCTTCTGAAGCACAGCTCATGTTTCTAAAACCAAAGGCTTGCCTCTAACCTGGCCAGAAAAATCAGATTTGAGGCTTATGAGCTGGTTTGGAAGGTGGCTGCTTTACTGACAGTAGCTTCCCTTCTTCTTTATGATTTTAATTTTATGTGTAGACTTGGATATCTCTTGCTTTTAATTTACACAAAAAGTGAAATGGGAAAAATATTTTCTGTAGCTTAAAATACAATTAACTGAATTGCTTGCTCTGACCAGAAAATAAATACTGAGGTGCTTTCTTCAGACTTGAGGTTTGCTGCAATTCAGCAAAGCATGATATTGTGTGAGCCTCTGGTGTGAGGGTGCTACTGAGTTTTCATATTAACTCTTTGTCTCTAGAACCATCTCTAAGGATCAGTTTGAAAAGAAGAAAAACGATACCCTGGATCCAGAGCCGTGAGTACCAGGCTGTTGTTTTCCCTTCCAAAATCTCTGTGCATCCACTTGTCCTTCAGCCAGCAGGGCAGAAATGGGGCAGGGAGTAAAGAACTCCTCTGTACCCCCATCCCTGCCCAAACAGACTGCAGAATCCTTCCCTAAAATTCATGGCACAGCACCTGAAGTGGATTTGCTCCCCCAGAGGACCACAGGAGCCTGTTCCACAGACAGTTCCTGGTTCTGTTATTTGGGTAAATCCAGGGCTGGGAATGGCCCTCCCTCCTCCAGAGCTTTCACTCTGCACTGCTGGGGCACTTCTGCATTTCCCCTGGTGGTTCTAAACCACATTTTTCTCTTCCCTGGGTGCTGTGCCCACCCAAAGGCCAGGGCACCCTGTGTGAGCCTGGGGAGGCTCAGGGGGTGCCCAGCTGAACACGGGGTTGCTTTCCCTGCAGAGGGATTTTATCAGCCTGCTCCATGTTCTCTGGCAGTTTGAGACACAACACAATTTGATTCCTTTGCTTATCTTTGCAAATTTTAAATAGAGCTCCTCCCTAGCCTGGAAGGCTGGACTGGGACAGACCCCAGTGCATTTGGCTTCTTAACCTGCCCTGCACTCTGGACTGGGAAAACCTCTAACAGTTTTCCCATCTTGAAAAAGAATTCTGACATACAATTTTTTGACCAGGAAACAAAAGATAAATACAAGACTACAGCAGAGCCATGCAGGCAAGGACAAGTTAATACATGTTTTTTTGGCAGGGTGGCTCATGAATGACTAGTTCTTACATTTACAGTAAGTTGAGCAACCATTTATTCAGCTTGTGGTTGTTGCAGCAATTCAGAATTAAATCTGTGGAGGTATTGTTGAGAATTCTGTGAAACTGGGACTCTGCTTAGAAGAGGATAGAAAAGATCCAGAAAAAGTTGTTCATGACAGCCCCTTTCAGATTTTTAAACCAGCACATTCTGCAATTTATATATAGGTATAGAAATATATGTATAACTTATACATGGATTGATAGATGTACATCTGAATCTATTCTGAGTATTTCTTTAAACTTAGATGTAAATTGGACCTGATGAAATTGATTCAGCTCTTAGCAGAGGAATGGCAACTCCTTCTTTCATTCTGAATTCTGGAAAATTACTTACCTAACACCAAAGGTAATTTGCTGCTGGTTTTTTCTCTTCAGGTTTGTTGACTGCAAAGAATGTGGTCGGAAGATGCACCAGATTTGTGTGTTACATTATGATATTATTTGGCCTTCAGGGTAAGAAATGTTTGTTAGTTTTTTACCCCTTGTATAATGAGACTGATGTAGTTTATGTAATTAAAGACTTTCTTCCTTTGTTCTTCAATATGTGGGCACAACCTTTTAAAGAACTGGGTACAAAGGGACAAAGCATTTCTAAATAAAATACTTTTTTGTGTGATTGGGGTCTTAGTTCAGTATATTCAGATGAAAATGTATATATTCATCCACACAGATCTGTATGGTTTCTTCCTAACTCTTAACCAAGGGCAGCTGGCTGGAGGGGTTTGTGTGCACAGAACACAAATGCAGGTGTAACTGCTTGGCAGAGTTAAACCAGCTTTAAATCCCCCAAAAATTGAGTGAAATAAGCTGTTCAAAGCCAGGGAAAAATATATTGTACTCTGACATTTAAATTACATGTTCAAACATTGGGTTTAAGCTCACCAATAATGGGTTTATGCTAAATTTTTGGCTTTTTTTTTTCCTCAATAGGTTTGTCTGTGATAATTGTCTGAAGAAAACTGGTAGAACACGCAAAGAAAACAAATTCAGTGCTAAAAGTGAGTTTGGTATTCCTGTTTTTATCTTCATCTTCTTCCTGCCACCCCTAATGGGTTTTTGATTGAGACTTTGTGTTGTCATGACAGACAGCACAGGAACATTTGCAAAATGGGGAGCAGCACAGCCTGAGGCTGTTGGAATTTTAATCAACATTTGAAAGCCCTGCTGTTTGTGTGTTTGTGGTCAGTCTTGTTGCTGCTTGGTGTGTTTGACATCCCTGTCATTGTTTTCTAGGGTTAAAAGCAGAAAGGGACAAATGGGAGGAGCACAGGGCTGTGTGTGCTTCACTGGCTGCATTCAGCCAGGTCTCCACCAAGGGTTGGAGCTGGAGTGACACAATTGTCACCTTCCCATAACCTGGAGGAACCAATTGTGCTGCTGCCCAGGTGCTGCTGCCAAACACCAGAGTGTGGGGAGAGCTTTTCTTGCCTGCACAACAGGGGTGGGGTGAGAACTGAGTCTCTCCTTGCACTGGGTGCTCCTGGCAGGGACCATCCCATGGGCTGGTGGGAATGGGCACTGGGGAGAGGCCCAGCAGATGCAGCTCAGCTGGGCTCAGCCTCCAGAATCCTCACAGGGAGCACAGCTGGGACATTTGTGTTCATGCAGGTCAGGTGGGGCAGGAGCGGGGCTGGTGTGGAAATGCAGAGTCAGTGCAGAGGGCAGAAAAATAAAGTGAGTGTGGACACCAAGGGGTGATTCAGGCACTTGAACAAACAGAACTTGCAGGGACATTTCATTCCTCCCTTGATCCTTCCTTTAGCAAGATGAGCTTTAAGTTCCCTTCCAACCCAAACCATTCCATGATTCTACAAAATAATTTTTTAAATGTATCAATCCCTTAGAAAGTTAAATAGTCCTTTGAGTATATGAGGTTTTTTCCCCAGTATTGGACATTACTGGGTGATGTTGTGCCTGCAAACTTCCAAGCTGGGATAAAGGCAAAGGTTTTGCATTAAAAATGTGACTTCTTGAGAGCTTCATGTGTGGTTGATTGTGTAACAGGAGATGTGAGGGGGTGATTTGCAGGTGATGATGATGATGATGTGTGGGGCATGGTGGGTTCCAGCAATCAGAGCAGTCTCTGGAGTAACCTGATGCACTCCAGAGGATTTTATTAAAGAGGCACAAATTAGTCTCATTAAAGACAGATTAAAATTGGAGGAGAACATTAATAAAATGATGAAATCCAACTGTAGTGTTAGACACCCATTTTAAATGGATTCTCTTCTGTTCTGTGCTGACTTTACAGCATGTATTGATGTAAATTTCCTTAAAATAAGTGTGTGATTCCCTGGATATCTGCAGTTGTTGTGTGGCTCTGGTTAAAGTTTGAGCAGCCATGTAGTTCAAGGTAGCTGTTCTGTTCTGGACAGGGAAATAATGGTGCTTTTTCCTTTCCTCCCTGGGGATGTGAGTGCTGCTGCCAGCTGGGACCCTCTGGTGGGCTCAGCTCTGCAGATCAGCTTTCTCCAAAAGTGCTCTGGTGAGAATGCAAGAGCAGGGAAGGGAAAGCAAAGTCTGTTCTTGTCATCTAAACCTTGCTCCTGCTGCTGACCTTAAACTTAAGCAGTGAGAGTTTGAAGCATTATCATGTTCCTTCTTAAAAAAGCATTTTCTGCCCAAGTTGCCATCAATATTTCTCCACTCTCTCAAGCCTGATGGCACAACTGCTGATAACCAAGACAGCACATCCCTCAGCTCTTGTGGAACATTCATGTTCCTAATGGACAGTGAGTAAAATTGGTTATTTTAACTGATAGCCTGCCAGATATAACCAGTGTGCAGCTGGGTTCTGCTGAAAAACCCTGAACTTCTGAAGTATTTATTTTGCTAAGAAAATCTACAACTATTACCTCACCAGTAGCCAGTGCAGAGGGGTTCAAAGACAAAAGATATCCTGACAAATAATTCACCCAAAGCAGTTTGCTGACAAGGAGTCACAAGAAGGAGTTGGAGTTTCTTCCTCTCTGTCCAATTACTCACCACTAACAGAGGCCTGGCCATGGCTGCTGTCACTGACCTGTGCTGGGGTTTCTCCTCAGCACCTTGGCTGCCTTTCCCAGCTTTGCACTGCAGTTTTCACTGAGCTTTGAGCTTTTGTTAGAGGTGCATGTGTGAGAACTGTCCAAGAGCCAAAACCCAACTGCTTTCTAAAACACCTTTCACTCACATTCTAAGAGATCAAAATATGCAACTGTTAGATCCTTTGCTTACAGTACATGTAATTTTAATGCTGCCTAGTTCTTTTATCTCCTCATCTGGACTTTTTGGGTTTGTTGGTTTCCAAGCTTTAATGCATAAGGAAGGAAGAAGATATTCCTTGGTTGCTTAGCATTGGGAAGATGAAAAATGAAAACACAACAAGACAAGTAGAGTTAACTCCAGTGGCTGTCTGAAAATGTTCCCACTCAGCAGCTGAAATATGGAGCCCTTTCTTCTTTTTCTGTTTGTCTTCAGAGAAATGAACAGAACAAAACAATCCCCTCATAAAGAATTTTATGTGAATTTCTGTGAATTTCCTTTAGAGTCATCCCCCTGCTGTTACATATGGAAATGCCAATACAGTGTATAGGAGTGGGAGATCCTGGGAAATGCTCATTGTGTTGGAATTGGTAAAGGACATGGTGTTTTTACTTCAAACTGCCTTTAAATTGCATTTTTAAATTAATAATTACTCCCAGGTAAATGATATTTAGACTGTGTTGTGCTGGTTATGACCACAGAATCTCACTGGACAAGGGGACAAGCTAAAAGATGTAAATCAAGATTGCTGCCTTTGGCAATTTCTGTAAACTGATTGTAATTAAACTGCCAGAGGGCAGGGCTGGATGGGATATTGGGAATTGGGAATTGTTCCCTGTGAGGGTGGGCAGGCCCTGGCACAGGGTGCCCACCCTGGATCCCTGGCAGTGCCCAAGGCCAGGCTGGGACAGTGGGAGGTGTCCCTGCCATGGCAGGGGTGGCACTGGATGGGCTTTAAGGGCCCTTCCAACCCAAACCATTCCATTATTCTATAAAATAAAATGTTAAGTGTACAAATCCCTTAGAAAGTGAAATAGCCCTTTGAGTATATGTGAGTTTTTCCCCAGTATTGGAGCCCAGAGTAATTTTTAGCACAGATATTTCACTGCAGAACTCTGTGTGCAGGCTCAGAGTCAAGGAGGAACCAAGGGCCTTGTGTCAGGAGCCAAATATCAACTGAAAAATCAAGTAACAGAGAGCAAAAATTAAATGCATTTTATTAAAATTAACATCTGTGGATTACACCATTACTTTGGAAAAGACAGCAGATTGACCATAAAGTGAAGCAGAAATATGAGTGGTGAAATAAGTACAGCAGGATAAGGGAAATAGTCATAAATCTTCAAGTCAAAACAGTGGGGTCCTTCTGCTTTCTTAATTTAACCCAAAGTCATCATGATCTGTGTAATTTGTTGGGGATTTATTTGAAAACCATCATATCCTGTAAGACCACAAACCCAGCTCCCCACAAACGGCAATTGTGGATGTGGAGATGGAGTGAGGGCATCTGGACAATCTGTGGGCTTGAACTGCCCAGGACCTCCATCTCTGGGCAGGAACTATTTAACCTTGGTGTGCAGATTGCTGCAACTGCAGCCCAAAAGCTCTCTTGAAAAGAAAAGCAAAAGCAATGAAATCTCCATTGAAGTCAAAAGGCTTTTCATTTCTGTTGATTTGCTTTGCCTTGCTTGAAAAGGTGTGGCATGGAGCCAGGTCTGTGAAGTGATGTAATCTCTGTCAGCCAGCCAGAGTGGGGCTGGGAGGAGAAAACATTGGCAGGGCTCATCAAATAAGGCTGAAATTGAAAAATGCTACGTAAAGCTGCCTTTGTTAGCTCACTTACAGGGTAACTGTGGCACTCCAGAGGGTTCAGCCCCAACTGTGGGGTGAGGAAAGCAGGGGGGGGTTTTGTTTCTGAGTTTGCATCTCTTCATTTTGACTGTATAAATCAAACCATCCCATTTTCACATGGAGGTAAAACAAAAGGGGAAAATCCCATTTCCTTGCAGGGAATGAAGCTGCAGGAGCTCTGGAGCACAGCACAGCCCGAGCTGAGCAGCTCCAGGGTTAACATTTCCTCTTGTTCTCCCCTTGCCTTGCAGGGCTGCAGACCACACGTTTAGGGAACCATTTGGAAGACAGAGTGAACAAATTCCTGCGGCGCCAGAACCATCCTGAGGCTGGAGAGGTCTTTGTCAGAGTGGTAGCAAGCTCAGATAAAACAGTAGAAGTTAAACCAGGAATGAAATCCAGGTTAGTCCTGTTCATTATAATGAATGTAATCATTTTTATTTATTTTATTTTGAAGTCTCCTGGGGGGCTGTTGTAAAATTGTGCCAATTTGTACCTTAATGCCTTTGCACATTTTTGAAATTTGGACATGTTTAGGATTATGAAAGGTTAAAAAATGTAGAGGAAATGACTGGTTTTGGGACATCCTTGCTTATAATACTGGGACTTTGTGTCACTCCATCTTGACAGTGGCCACATTTTGGTTACAGAATTCATTTGTTTGGAGCAGTTGCTGAGTTCTGTTCTTACTCTTCCTTCATTTTGTTGTGTTTCTAGAAACACTTCCGCTTTCAGGAGTAATTTCTAATTTGCTTCATTATAAATGAAGCAAATTAAATGAAAAGCTTCAAATTAAATGAAGCAAGTTATAAATAAAAAGTTTAAAAGCTTTAGTCTGTGAAGTATTTTGGGTTAAATTCATAAAAACTGTGTTTATGTGACATCACTTCATCCTAATACATCACATATTCTGCTCTGTAGCCCATTTAAAGGCTTGTGGTCTCTGAGGATATTCATGTACTCAATGCTGGCCTGTTCAGCCCTGTGTTCTGTATGGAAACAGTCTTCCCATGAATTTACAGGAACAGGATTCCCTGTTTTACTCCAGCTCTGATCTGACCCCATTTAACTCCTGCCTAAAATCACAGAATCACAGAATTATGAAGTTGGAAGAGACCCCTAAGATCATCGAGTCCAACCTGTGCCCTCACACCTCAACCAGACTGTAGCACCAAGTGCCATGTCCAGGCTTTTTTAAACACATCCAGAGATGGGGATTCTACCACCTCCCTGGGAAGGGCATTCCAGTACTTTATTATTATTTTGGTGAAAAATTTCTTCCTAATATCCAACCTGTCCCTTCCCTGAGGTAGCTGGAGACTCTGTGCTCTGGTTCTGTCAGAGACCAACCCCAGCTGTGTGCAGCCTCCCTTCAGGAGGGTGCAAAGAGCAATAAGGTCACCCCTGAGCCTCCTCTTCTCCAGGCTGAGCAGCCCCAGCTCCTTCAAACGTTCCTCAGTGTTCCTAAGGAGTTAAAAATAAAATTGACAATAATCCCCTTGTTCTGATAGCACACTGCTTTAATAATCGGTATTTTCTTTGGGTTTTCTTTCTCCTGCAGATTTGTGGACTCTGGTGAGATGTCAGAATCGTTCCCTTACCGTACCAAAGCTCTGTTTGCGTTTGAGGAGATTGATGGTGTGGATGTTTGTTTCTTTGGGATGCACGTGCAGGAGTACGGCTCGGACTGCCCCCCTCCCAACACCAGGTACCCCCGGCCTCCTCCCTGAGCCCTGGGCAGCCACTGCACACACCTGGCACATGCATTTCAGTTCTGGGCCACAAACCCATCCTGCACTAGGACTGCAGGTGACTTTGAAGGGAAAGACAAATAGCAAAAAATGGAATTTATTAGGATAAATGCTTATCCTAATTATCAACTCACACAACCTCCTATATCCATCAAAATAATACGTCCAAAAAAACTACAAAATGTACAACAAAAATGTTACATTTTTTGCATTCTGCTTTTAATTTTGCCTCCTGATGTATATTCTTGCTGTGTGTGCTTCACTGGCTGCCTTCAGCCAGGTCTCCATGTAGGACTGAGCTGTAGTGACACAATTGTCACCTCTGTAGGAACCAATTGTGCTGCAGTGCAGGTGCTGCTGCCAAACACCAAAGTGTGGGAAGAGCTAAAGAAACACAGCCCCTCTTTTGCTTTTGAGGACTGTTTACACCACATGATGACAACTGAACATGCATTAAAACACCATCAGCATTTCTGCATGCTCACCTAGCGCAGAAGGCAGCTGTCAGTGGTGTTGAGGCAGGCCTGAGTGTGTCCGTGTGTCCCTGCAGGCGTGTGTACATCTCCTACCTGGACAGCATCCACTTCTTCCGGCCGCGCTGCCTGCGCACGGCCGTGTACCACGAGATCCTCATCGGATACCTGGAGTACGTCAAGAAGCTGGGGTGAGTGACACCTGCCAGGGAAAGGACCTGGGGCTCCAGGGGGTTTGCACCTGGGCTGCTCTCTGTTTCCTTCTCACCTCTCTGAGATGTGTGCTGCAAACGTAGAGAGGGAAACTGGGATTTTGTCCCTACGGTGGTTTTTGTTGTTGGGATAATGTCACTGTTAGGTTGGATGTGACACACACACACATGATCAGGGTCCAAGAAGAAAAAGTTTTTTATTCTGTGTGTTCTCTAGCTTATATACTCCTAACAAAGCATGATCTGAAGTCATTAACTACATCACAAGAACTGATTATATTCATTGGTGCAAAGGAATTAATGTCAATGTAATTGGCAAAAGTTTTACAGAAATTGAATAAGGCATATATACATGTCTACTTGTGCAAAAATTTTCCTGTATCTTTTCTAATCTCTTTTCTAATCTCTTTCTTGTCTTCTTCCTTGCTATGGATACACTCAAAAATCATCAATTGTTATTTGTTCTATTAACTCAGCTTTGCTTGCAGGCCAGCTGTCAAGCCCCTCCATACAATTCCTACACTGACAGCATTCATTTGGTCAGATGTTCATTTGATGTTCAAACTTCATTATTCTAGCCCTGACCTTATCCCTTGTCAAAATATTGCCTCAGCATCTTAGCTACAAAGAAAAAAATGTTAAAAATTTAAAAAATCAAGCCAGAGCTCTGGATTCATAGCGAGTTTGAGTTGGCTTTGTGGTGGGAGTCACAGCTGTTGTTTGTTGTGTGTGACACAGGTATGTGACAGGGCACATCTGGGCCTGTCCCCCCAGTGAAGGAGATGATTACATCTTCCATTGCCACCCACCTGACCAGAAAATACCCAAACCCAAACGTTTGCAAGAGTGGTATAAGAAGATGCTGGACAAGGCATTTGCTGAGAGAATCATTCATGACTACAAGGTTTGTTACTGTTTAATTTCTGATTTAATTCTTATGTGTTCTCATTTGAAGGGAGCTACTGTTGTTTCATAACACCTGGAAAGCAGAGTAATGTTGTACAAAAGGTTTATTCTCAACCAGTGCCTTCATTTTCTTAGATTTTTTTGAGGTTCTGCCTTTCAGGCTGAAAATTCCTTAGGTTTGGTGTCTGCATGAAGGGAAATCTGCAAGAACCTGCCTTTGTGTATTTTTCTTTCACTGCATTTTCTAGGCAAGGAAATATGGAGCTTGTCAAGGTTTTTGGAAGCTGTTTCTTTCTGGTGATTCTGGAGGAGCAGGTGAAATGCTGGACCCCACTAGTGTGAAATAAAAGAGCTCCTTATGACAAGAATGATTTTCATAACTGCAGAATATCACACATGTACCCAAGGAAATGAGTAGAAGGTGGCAAAGGCAGCATTTGCCACTCCTTTCATGCTAAAATGTACAAGAATTCCTTAATGGTAGTGACAGTGCTGGAAAAAAATGGATGTTTTGATGGCAAGTGACAGTTCCTGAGTGTGTGGAGTAGGAACAGCCTCTAACAAGCCTTGTTGGAGCTGGGAAAAGAAATCTGGGCCTCCTGATAAGGGGGCTTTGAAACCAGGGAGGGGTCAGCTGCATTTTCCAGGGGTATCTTGGTATCTGCCATCGTGCCAGGAGCATGAACTGGTGGCATGATGGGGTCAGGAAAGGCTCAGCAGTGCCCCTCGGGTGGAGCAGGGAGTGGGGCTGTGCCAGGACTGCCAGGCTGGCTCTGGGCTGTGCCTCTGGCTCTCCCCTCTCTCTCCTAAGTGATCTTCATTCATTCATTTATTTGTTCCTGCTCTGCTGTGATGTCAACAGGACATCTTCAAACAAGCAACTGAGGACAGGCTGACCAGTGCCAAGGAGCTGCCTTACTTTGAAGGTGATTTCTGGCCTAATGTGCTGGAGGAAAGCATCAAGGAGCTGGAGCAGGAGGAGGAGGAGAGGAAGAAGGAAGAGAGCACTGCAGCTAGTGAAACAACAGAGGTGGGTTAGCTTTGTGTGCCATATTCTCCCTTAGCTTTGATATAGAGAGGTCACACCAGATAAACCAGAGAAGATCATTTACAGCAGACATTCAGTCAGAGGTCCCTTTAACTGCATTTCTGTTTTTCTTCTTGGTTCACAAATCCACTGATGGCTTGGTTTGGGTTTTTTTAACAGACTCAGGAGTCACTTATGTCAGTTCAGCATCTCTCTGCTCAGAGAAATGTGTTAAGTTGCTTTTGCCACGCTACATTTGCTTGCAGTCATTTGGCTGAGCTTCTGGTTCACACCTTTGCAAAGCACCTCCAGCATTTGCATTTTGAAAGGTGCTGGAGTTTTCAAAGCTGAATGAAACGTGGCTGTTATTTAAGCACAGGTACTTTGTAGTCATTTGCAACAGCAAAGGGCTGAGATTTGAAAGTGTTTATTGCAGGCTCTGCGTTGGTGGGAAAAGTTGATCCTGATGGTTCTGTTCCTTCACCAACATCCTCTCTTTGTCTATAAAAACCAACCAAGCCAAAAAAATATCCACAAAAAAACAACAACCATGTTTTTCAGGGCCCTGGACAGAATGTCATCATTCATTTTTATTTCCATCTTGATTTTATCTGCAACCAAATGGTCTCAGCACTTTTATGCTGTCCCTTTCACTTGAGATTTGCAGCAAGTCGTTTTGAAAATAAATGTTGTAGGAAAATCTGAAGTCTCATAGATTGAGGTAGAACCAAAAGCTTTACCTGGGGAAAGCCCCCTTGAAGCTTAGATGCTGTGACTGTTTGCCTTCAGTTTGTGTTACATGGGATTGATGTGGAGGATTGCATTTAATCCATCAATTTTGTGATGTCAGAAAGTTGCTTTGTTAAACCTTAGCAGCTCTTTCAAAGTTAATACAGTTTGTGGCTGTGTTTTAATGGAACCACACAGTTAACAGCTTTCCCTTGGTTCCTTCTGAATGAATATAACAAGAAGTGGAAGGCAAGGCTTGGGATGAGGCAGCAGCCCTCTCTTGCTAACAGATCAATTCCAGTAAATCAGGGAAAACAGTGCTGTGAGCATTTACTCTGCAGCTAGGAGGGGGTAAAAGGTGTTTGAAAAAGCCCAGAACAATTCACTGGGAGCTCAGACAAGTTGTGGCCTAAAATGAGACAATGCAGCCTTGGTGGGGAACATCCCTGTGCTCCCCTTGGTGCCTGGGGACACAACCTGCACCCAGCCATGGCACACTGGGGTCTTCGCCTCCTAACTCAGGAAAAGGAGCACATTTAAAAATATGAGAACTTCCCCCATGCAGAACCTAAACTGGGTCACTTCATGGAGGAAACTGCCCAGCACTGGGGATCTCCATGGGTGCAATCACCACATGGATCTTGGTGCTGAATTGGCACAGAATCTCTCACATTCTTTGTCCTAAATGTTGTGGATGTGAAGAGAAAGCTTCCTGCCAGTGACCATGTGCTGCAGGTATCAGTCAAAGGGAGAGCAAAGAGCTGGGAAATATTGAGAGTTCTTGGCAGAGGTTCTGAAGGGGTGAGGCTCCCCCAGGAATTGTCCATCAGCATCTCTGGCTGGTCTGGCTGCATGTCAGAATGAAATGGTACAAACACAACCCTACAACTTCTTAAAACAGCTTGGAATACTTTGTACAGTTTGCCAAATATAAACTTGCTAAAGGTGGAGTAGAAAGAAAACTTATCAAACTTGGCTTGTTTGATAAGTTTTAGTCTGTTCTTCCTTTTGGTGTTTAAATTTTAAGATCTCAGTTGGGGCTTTAGGATGTGGAGGCAAAGGAGGGCAGGCTCCAGTTCCATCAGTGGGGGCAGTCAAGGTGGGAACATAAACCAGGTCCCTTCTGAATCCCTCAGAGTCACTGAGAGCTCTGTCTGGTATCCCATAAAAGAGTCTCATTTTCATGTCCAAACAGGTTTGGTCAGAAAATCCACAAAATGAGTTAGAGAGAGCCCAGGAGTGGTCAGGGAATTCCTGTCCAAACCTAATTAATGGAATAGAAGGATGGCAGCAGTCTGTAAATAGAATTGCTTTCTGCAATTGGAATATTTTTGTTTTCCTGGAATAAATATGCCTGTGGACAAACCCTGTGTTTGCTTGTACATACTGTTCGTGGCACTTGCTTGTGTATGTGTGTATATTTATATATATACACAAATATTTCACTAGCTTATTTTTAATTTTATGACCAACATTCTAGAAGTTGGAGAGGGGTTTTTCCTGAGCCCTCCCTGCTGAGGGCTTGGGGTTTGATTTTTTAAGGACATGAGAACTGCAGAAGTTATTTCTGTTTTCCCAGGTCATCTAAATAGCATCATTGCTATTTTCACTCTCTTTACTTCCATCTAACATTCAGTGTATGGCCACTGTGCTCTGTGTTGTAACTTGGGCACAAGTGGAGTTTTGGAAATTATTTTTTGGGAGCAGCACATGCAGCTGGAAGTCTGCAGGATGGAGAATAATGTGTTTTGTTGATTTCAATTCAAATCCTGCATGTTCTTATCTGTGTCCTAGCCCTAAATCTGTTCAGTAAAAACAAACCTTAAATCAGAGCTCAAGCAAGTATGTGACACACCAAATGCACAGTAAAGCAAAGTACTGCACTCCTGGAATTTTAACTCCATATTATTTGTGTCATTTTATCATCAGCTGCAAGATCTAAAGCAGTGGAAGCTGAAGGATGATGTTGGAGAAGGAAAAATAATCAGTGTAAAATGGGAATTTTTTAATGTATACATACTTTGAAAGTTTATTTTTAAACAGTGTTTGGATTTGTTTGCCTGCCAGTTTGGCTTTTGATTTTTCCTGGAAGATAGGATATATTTAACACCGGAGGGCTGATTTACAGGCATTGGAACAAAGTTCTATTCCTGACAGCAGAAGTGTGTCACTGTGAGCCCAGTGAATGGAGAGAGCTCTCCAAAGTGTAACATCTCTCCCGTGCCTTCATTGCAGGGGAGCCAGGGCGACAGCAAGAACGCCAAGAAAAAGAACAACAAAAAAACCAACAAGAATAAGAGCAGCATCAGCAGAGCTAACAAGAAGAAGCCCAGCATGCCAAACGTGTCCAATGACCTGTCTCAGAAGCTCTATGCCACCATGGAGAAGCATAAAGAGGTACTGTGGGAATCTGCTGTAAAAAGAGAAGGGTTTATTCCTGTAAATGCAGGCACAGGGATATTGAGAACTGAAAAACCAGGAGGAATAAACCCTGTGCTCGGGCTAGGAATGTTTCTGTTGCATAACAACATATTGGAAGAGATTAGCCTAAACTAAGTTAATTAGCTAAGGTTCTCACTGACCTCTTTGCCTTTTATTCCTCCCCGTTTACCCCCAGGTGTTTTTTGTGATCCATTTACACGCGGGGCCCGTGATCAACACCCTGCACCCCATCGTGGACCCCGACCCTCTGCTGAGCTGTGACCTGATGGACGGGCGCGACGCCTTCCTGACGCTGGCGCGGGACAAGCACTGGGAGTTCTCGTCCCTGCGCCGCTCCAAGTGGTCCACGCTGTGCATGCTGGTGGAGCTGCACACGCAGGGCCAGGACCGCTTCGTCTACACCTGCAACGAGTGCAAGCACCACGTGGAGACCAGGTGGCACTGCACGGTCTGCGAGGTACGTGTGGGCA